TTTACTCAATATACATGGATTCTAACATCATTCTTGCATCCAAATGCTAGGTTTCATCATCAAATCCTCAATAACACTAAAATCACCAAAAGTTATAATTTTTCAAGATTGAGCTACTAGAGGTAATTTCAATGTTTCAAACTCGTTTATTATGAGTAGTTAGAAGTATTTGAAACATTCGTTACAAGTTTTAATGGTTGAAAGATTGGATTATAAAACTCTAGTTCATGGCATGAATAGTACTTTTGAGAAAATAAGAGAGAAGATGAGTAGTAATCTTGGCGATGAAATTGATGAATACAATGAACCTATGGAGTTCTTTGCTAGCAAAAGTTGGAAGTGATCAACTAAGTAAGCACCCGAATTGTATACTTTGCAAGTGTTGATTATGAAAGACGATAAATAGTAACTTGGTGGCAATGGACAATTGATGTAGTATCATTAATGATTTCGAATGGGTATTAAAATATAAGAATGAAGTTGAATGGTCTAGCTCATAAATTGATTTGGCAATTTGAGCTGTTGGAGGCGTGTGGCCAACTTATGAGCCATATATGGATATTGACCAATATTTTAGGTCATATTTTGATGTAATTAGGATATCTAATTGTAGATATCGACTTGTTGGTGATGTTTGGGTATTTTAATCGATATTGGAATGATGGAAGAGGGTTCAAAGCTTGTGGGAGTGAATAAAGCGCAAGAGAGGTAAGTTGATTAAAATTTACTCTTCTTGAGGGACTTTCTCTAAAAGCATGCTTCAAGTTAATACTTAAATTGTTTGCAAATGTGCTTTCGTGCTTGTGGGGACAAACAAGTACGGATGTCTCCATGTACTAGAATATTATGTTCCATATGTAGTGTCATGTCGTTTTATAAAATTTTATGTTAAATTTTGTTGGCAAAATGACACTCAAGGTAAATGCTCTAAGTTTTTATCAAAACTTACGTATTGACAAGGGTATACATATTTGAGTGCTAAAGATAAGTTTTCATGGAAAATATTTGTTTTGGAAATTGAAGAACAGAATAGCACTTGTGGTATCTTTTAAAGATTGATGTTAAATTGTTAAAGGCTTTAGCATGTAAAAAGTTATTTATTTAATTTTTGTTCAAATGATTTAGATTTTGTATAAATGTTCTGAGTTGATAAAAATAGATCCTTTGAAGCTACTATGCTATGCATCTATTTTTGAATTATCAAATTCACCGAGATTGACTTTGGATATATTGTGTTCGTTGTCATCAAACTACACGTGCCGGTATAGGCGTAGATGGCCACTTTATGGTATAGACTACGGCAGAGTGCTCTCCCTCGAGAGAGTATTATTTTGTGTTATTATTAGCATGGCTTAGTCGATTTGTATGGCACTATGATGAGACGACTTGAGCAAGTAGGGTATAAGATACTTGCCGCTAGGTACATAACCTAGTTGGCCTTCTTATGTCGGTGATGGTATAGTACTCCCAGTGAAGAGTAAGGATGATTTCCTTATGTTTAGGCCTAAGGAGCCGAAAGTGATTTCAATGAATTAAAGCAAATGAAATGATTTTGTATGATTTTATCCAAAATCTTGGATTGATGTAAATATTTTAAAAGTTTAGATTGTGGGTTATATTTCACTTGGCTTTATTCAAAATGACAAGGGAATTGATAGAATTTCTTATCGTTTTATTTCGAATATTGGTGCATTATTTTCATAAAGTTTGTCCCAAGAATTTGAGTTAGAGAGAGTCTATGACACTTATTGAGTACCCTTTGGTGTACTCAGCCCTTAGGGGCCCCCCTCCAGGGCCCTGCTTACTTTACATATTTCAAGATGAGGTATGATACGTGGCATGCGGTCAGGACTAGGATGACTCTCTTCCTGAAGTATATAGTTAGGCACCACTCCTATTTCGTGGTAGCTATCATGTTATTTTTCTTAATTTAGGGTATTAGCCCAAGCGCTTAATTCTATTCTTTGGTATAGAGGCACCATAGATAGTTGTGAAACATTGTAGTAACGAGGTTGTACACGACATACATAAAAATATATTCATTTTACTTAGTCTCATTGTTATTATCATGAAAGGTGTCATGTGTGATTTTGAATTGGAAAATATTTTATCGTTTAACTTGAAAATGTATATGATTTTCAAGGAGCTTCCGCAGTTAAATTGATTTGGGTGCATCAGATGGGTTGGTTCACTCGGGTCGGGTAGTGTGTCGATGCCGGTCACGTGAATTTGGATCTTGACACAGTCTTCCTTCACAACAGGAATGCTAGAAAGGCGAATGGAAGAAGGGTACCTACGAACGAGCCAGTGTTTGTCACTATTGGGTTTAATGGGTTCTTTTTGTTCTTGAAAGTCAGATTTGATGTTAAGTTGAAGGGGTATGATGGAGTTCACGGTAGGAGGTTTAGACTCAACATGAACCTCTTTTGTTTAGTTTTTCTTAGAGCCTCCACCGAAGAAAAGGCCAGAGTTTCTGAGGACAGCAATGTTAGAAGGCATGATGGTAAGAAATTTGTGAAGAAAGATTTTACTGAGAAAGTTGAATTCTGCAAATAGGGTTCTAAGGTAAATCGGGGAAGAAGAAGGAGATGTAAAGGTAGAAAGTGAAAATGATGAGTAGAGGAAAAGTTTATAGACGACAAAAGTCATTGTCATGATTACCTCGAAAACTGGAAAAAATATTTGTCAAATCGTGTGTTCGGGTCATTAAATGCTAAGAGACATACGTCCTTTCAAGTGATAGAAACTTGCCCGCTAAGGAAAAAGGTTTTCTCTACTTCCCGGTAACACTAGAGTATTGTCATCGAAAAGTAGGGGGACTATCTGTATACGGTAAAATTGGCTAGAAACAATTGGACGAGTGAGGAGGTGACACGTGGAGCTGAAGACAGGTAAGATGTAAGTCAACAAGTAGTTGATGCCGGTTGCAGGGATGTGACCGGTGCTGGGTGAATTCCGAAGGCAGGGTAACCGATAACAAAGATTTGAAGAATTGATATCGGACAGTATTCAACGAACAACTGTTACAGAGAATATCTGTATTTATAGTCAACCGTTATGCAGCCATCAATGACGGTTTTATTCTCACTCAAGAGGGGCTTGATTTGGGGATCTTGTCTCCCTAAATATAAGGTATAAATAGGAGAATTGGTATCTATTGTAGGACACGAAATATTTTATACTTAAAAACTTGAATCGGCTCTCATTCTATAATATTATTCTTTTGCTTTGTTCTTAATATTGTTCTTGCTTCTGGTACCGGAGAAGCTAAATTCAAAGTCAGGCTTGTATTTCCTTTAAGTGTATTTTATAATTTTATTTCTGTTCTTATTTATTTCATATTTCTAGGTCAAATTAATTCACGTGTCTATAAACCACCACCATTTTGCAGATAAACACTTACAAAGTTAAGCATTTAAAAAAATATTTTTTTAAATAAACTAACTATATTGAAAAGCTATCTAATACTTTGCGATGACAATGTGCTAAATTAGTTTCAAAAAGAATCTGAAACAGTTCGAATGACATTCGGGTATTATTATTAATAATTTCTATTTTCCTGGCATCATGAGTTGACAATAAACGACTTTGTAGTAAATGTCACCTAGCACTTAACTATTTGGAGAGATTAATGGTATTCTACTTGATAATCCGCCATTTTCCGATTTCTAAACGTGGAATAAATTGTTACTATTTTTTTTACCAAGAAATTACAATAGCATAAAGAAATAAGAATCCTGGGATCTTTAACTCAAAAGCTGGCCAGGATTTTTACGGAGAGGAAAAAGTCTCACTTCAAGCAATAATACTTTAAAGGGAATTCATAGTTCAGTAAGAAAATTATTCACTTTTCACTGGATGAGGTATCATTTGTCTAACCAAATGCTGTAGTAATAACCGCAATCGAACAAGATGAAGTTTCTGTACGTTAAGGTGGAAACTCTTAGCAGAATTTGTTCATGAGATAATTAGAAAGTTAAAACCACAGAGAAAAATGAGGAAAAGCAAAAGATACAGAACATCTGGGAAAAAAGAAATTAAGTATTTCAGGTGCTCTTGTTTCCTAATGTAAACATATCTCCGCGATACTAAGCTAGACAAGATGCCCATATAGTTGATAGTGGTTTATGAAGACATTGAAAGGCAAAATGAGAATGTCAAAATAGAATTTGGTATTCCTATTTAATTTTTTCCCAACTGCTTCAGGTTTACCCCACCCTATGACTAAATTTTAAAAACTACGTGCTCACGACTTTTACCAGAACTTTAAGCAGAAAACTGATAAAGTTATCTTGCTTCAAAGGTAGATTCCATTTCTTTATAGGAACACTAAGAAGTAATGATAAATAAGGATTAAAATAATTTCTACTTCAGGAAGTTAATTTTAGTTTTTGTTTTTTAAAAGTGAAATTAATACTAGTAGTGTAATATACTAATATTTAGCCTAGAGCAGCGGAGAGACTCTAGGGAAAACCCGCTACACCAAAGAGCTTATGCAGAAAGAAAGAAGAAATATTTAGAACCAGTAATTGTCTCTTTTTGCTAGAGGTATTGACGAAACCTATATCACATTACGAAGATACATGTGGAGAAATTCTATTCTTACACATGCAAATAAATGAATACAAAATTGAAGTGACAAAAGACCATTGATAATGTTGCACTTCAAGCACATGATTCGAAGCTGGAATCTTCTCAAATATGAAAAGATCATCCTACGTTTCACTAAAGCCGACTGCATCTAGCAAAGAGAGTGCAGTAATGTGTATATCAGAATTTCAATCAAGCGGGAAAAGCATGGAGTTAAAAAGACAATCACACTCACAAATGAGCATAGCATGCTTGTGCACCAGTGTGTATATAACTATATACAATCAAACCTCTCGATAGTAGCTTTATTTGTCCGAACATTTTTTTTGATTGCTATAGCGAAGTGTTGTTATAGAGAACATATATTATAATATAACATGAAAAATCGGCTGCAAAGGAAACTTGGAAAATACAGTAAAAGTGCTATAATAGAGGATGACTGTTAAAGAGAAGTTTGATTGTACTTGTATCATTTACAGTTCTGGATAAGCAATATGTGCAGTGATATCATCATAGCCTGTGTCATGGTAACAGCATTACCACTAGCTATTTGAATTAGCACCAAAATGTTAAAATATTTTTGCCAAATTCATCACACAATGGCAGAGAGGAAACATCTCTTCCCTAAAGACCCTGAGTTACTCATCTGCCAACCGTAGCCATCTTCAAAGCAGTCAATCTGCCATCAATTGCAGGCAACTTATGAGGCAAAGAATGGATAGATATTCTAAATCAAGACGGAAGTAATAAATAAAGTAATATACCGTATCTAGGACTTCCTCATGATCGTTCACTCCGCCAATTACCCATATATTTCCTCCCACCACAGCTGCTCCAGAGTAACCCCTGGGACTACTCATCTGCTCTCCCATCACCCATGAACCAAATCGCGGATGAAGTATCTCAACAGATGAAACCATGTTGTCTCCATCATAACCGCCCAACGCATATCTGCAAGCAAAAATTTATATGTCCGGTTATAATGATCTCCAAGCACAATGTACAACCATAAAATCAGGACCTTCTGAGGTCCAATTCAGACAAAACACACCACAATATTCTAATTTTGAATACAGTACGCAAACCAAACATGCCACAATATTCTAATTTAGAACACAATATTATATTCGCCCCTAAATCTATTATTCAGATAATTCGAGTTTCGATAACTATGAAAAGAACTTTCTAGTTCACTCAGAAAAGAGTGATTGTTGTCAATCTCAAAAATCCGATTTTCAATATCAAAATAGATGGAATAACTGTCTCCATTCCGATCACTAACTAAAAGTGTCATCGGAGATAAAATTCTGAATGTCTTCAGTGCCGAATAAATAATCTAACATTACTATATAATAGGTATAGGGTCAAATAAATTTATAACGTAAATATACAGGGTAAAATATATTTATAAAGTAGGTATACAGAATAAAATGAATATTTTAATTGTATATGGTGTTAACTGGTGTTTCCGGTGGGTATACCGCGTAGATTTCCCAGAAAATCAAGTAATAGTCAAAAGCCGAATCCTACCACCCTTACCCGTCCCAAATGTTTCTGGTATCACCCATTACCTTAAACCTGCTATTAAAGAAACCCACAAGAAGGGACAAAGTCACCGTGCTAACGCATCACCTTCCATCTAACAATCATTTGAGGACCATGAAACACAGTTATAAGAGTTTGACGGCAAAATTAACATATCTAAGAGAGGCTTCCAACAGAAATGGACTTACAACTTCTCATTGTAGGCAACCAGAGAGTGGCATCCCCTCCTCGTTTTCATGCTTCCAATTGTAGTCCACGTATGTTCCCTCGGATCGAATCTTTCAACAGATCTAAGTGTTAAACCAAATATCACAGTCAGACACAGATGGACTCAGAACAGAATCTAAACCAAAATAAGTGGCATTATTAGGTAAAAGCACCACATGGTCATACATCCACACCCAATAAAACCATAATATGAAGCATTACCAGTCACCTTTTTTTTTGTTTAGTTCATCCAGTTACTCAACAACAACAACAACATACCTAGTATTATCCCACACCGTGGGGTCTTGGGAGTGTAGTGTTTACGCAGACCTTACCCTTACCTCATCCAGTTACTCAAAAAAAAAAAAAACACCACACAAACTTTTGATGTGTTAATAACATTCCCTAATTGCTAATATATGTATAGACTGTATCAAGATTTTCTCCTCTGAAACTGTTTATACAGAAGAAGAAATGTTACCGTATTGAACTCCAAAATTTCTTTTCTAACGAGTACTTTAATCTAAAAACTTCACATGATATCAAAAGTAAAGTTTCATGCACCACATGAGCACTTTATAAATTTTCAGTTTAGTTTTATTCAAACTGGAGAGGGTATTTCATTTCGTCCGTTTCATGTCTCTGTGACTTGGAACTTCTTATAATGAAGATACTAGTAGCTTAGTAATTGTTGGTTCCTAGACAAAGACGTGATAACTCTTCAAAATAGGTTCAAGTTACAACATGGAAAACAAAAACTCATGAATGGTTAACCTTCTAACTAAGAGCTGATAATGTCATCCGGGAAAAATGTGCACCAAGCAGAGCGTATGACTTTCTCAACATCTATGTATGCTTCACTATTTAGGTAATCACAGCGGACTTGAGGAATTAAGAGAAATGTAATGCTAGTTTATTAAAGCGTAAGGAATATGAGGTCGAATAGTACCGGCAACCCGAGTATTAAATGGATTCAACATGGCGTGTGAGACCACGAAAGGAGAGAAAACATTGCCGGTAAACACCGCCGGGACAATCCAAGAAACGAAGTTCTACATGATCGAAGGGAATATGAGGTACAACTCTTTGTTCGGAAGGCCATAAGTCCACAACATAAGGGCGGTACCTTCGACCTTACACCAGGCGCTGAAGTCTCCCACACCGAGGGGGGTCAAAACGGTCTACGGAGAACAGCCGGCCGCAAAGGAAATATTTGATGTCGACGAAGTGATCTCGGTTCCCGCGGTCTCAACATCGAGGAGTGCGGAACTGACCAAAAAAGAAGAGATTAAATAGCAATCACTGATACCGGCCTCAGCCGAACCAGAGAAACAGGAAGAACAAGGGGCAGACAATGAGGACGATTACAGCGTCCCGAGATCATTCTTAGCTCCCGATGACACCGACACCACCAAATCAAAAAAGAGTTGGAGCAAGTCATATTAATCGAACATCTACCGGATTGAAAGGTATACCTGGGCACAGGGTTAACCCCCGAGCTCAGGAAAAAACTTATTGATTTTCTTAAAGCTAATGTGGATTGTTTCGATTGGTCCCATCTTGACATGACAGGGATCCCACCGGAGGTAACCACTCACAAGCTGAGTTTGGACCCGAAGTTCCATCTGGTTAAGTAGAAGAGAAGGCCACAGTCCAAGATCAAACACGCGCTCATCAAGGATGAGGTATCCAAACTTCTAAAAATAGGATCCATCCGGGAAGTTAAATACCCGAATTGGTTAGCTAACGTAGTGGTAGTACCTAAAAAGGAAATAAACTAAGGATGTGTGTGGATTATAAAGATGTAAACAAAGCATGCCCGAAGGATTCTTTCCCTTTGCCTAACATGTTGAGGGCATCGTCTGGGCCCGGTGCCATCTCGTTTGATTTTTCCCTTTCGGCTTGAGCCTCTTCGAACATGGACTCTGTGTGGGACGGCGTCTCCGTGATGTCAATGACACCAGCTGCCTCCTTCGGGGCGGGAGCGGCTTCTCGGGAGGCCGTGGCCTCCGACTCTCCTTCTGGCTCTCGAGCTAGAGGAGGATCGACCTCTTGGCCACCTTTTATGGTTGCCACCTGCTCTCCCTCGTTGAGTGTCGACTCGTGAGCAATGAACTCAAGGTCGTCATCCTCGGGGTAATCCCTGAGCCGGTAGAGGGAATCAGAGTCCGGCACCCCGGACTCGGACGGCCACCCTCTTCTTCTTCACCTCGGCATCCAGGGAGCCCGAGGACTTCCTTTTCTTCTTTTTTTTCTCCTCCTTTGCGGCAGCCCCGGGCTGCCCCGAAGCGGAGGGTTCGGCAAATGAGGATGGATCCTCATCCTCATCTAACGGCCTGAGCTCGGTGGTCTTGGGCAAACCTGTGAGAAGGAAGAAGACTTAGCGAAATACAAGTCAAATGTGTGAGTAATAATTCGGGAGACAACCTCACCATGGGAACGGGCCTCCCACTTGCCCTTCGAGAGCTTGCGCCATGCGCGCTTGGAGTAAGACATATGTTTGCAGATCCCCTCGATCCACTCCTTGAAGTGGGGGGCTGCATTAGCAACCCGAGCAACCGCTATACAACGATAAACACATGCAATTAGGAAAAGAATAAAAAGGAGTGCCAAATACTCGAGAAGGAAAAGACTTACGAGATGCGTTCCACTTTTTGGGGAACGATAGAAATTCGGAGGGAATGAGGTCTTCAGTTTTCACCCGAACGAACCTCCCCTACCAACCTCGATCTCAGTCCTCGTCAATGCTCGAAACAGAGCTTTACTAGCTCAGCGAACGAGCTTGATCAACCCCCTCGGAAGATTCGGGGACTGCAGCCACGAAGCAGATGGTCGAGGGTGAACCGAGGTGCTTCGGTGTTGTTTACGAAGTGACGGAGGAGGATTACGATCCTCCAAAAATACGGGTGAATCTACCCAAGGCAGGCCTCGTACCTTTGGCAAAAGGTGAGGACTACGGGGTCCACCGGGGAGAGCGTGAAGGGGTAAGTGTAAACACTTAGGTACCCTTCCACGTGAGTGGTGATGTCTTTGTTGGGCCTGGGGACGAGCACCTCCTTACCCTCCCAGTTACAGTCTACCCGAATTGTGGGGAGTGTCTCTTTAGTAACGGAGCATATGTACCTCCATGCCCCCTCGTCTCGGTCCTGTTGAGTGGGGGCCTTCTCAACATTGAAGTCATTCTCAATAGAGCAGCCCCCGAGGACGAAAGTCTTCAAGGGACGCTCCTAGGCCACCTCGACATCTGTGGCCGGGTTGGAAGATGAAGGGGTGGTTTGATGAGGCACGAATTTGAAAGTTTTTGCCTTCGGATTCTGGAAAGTATGAATGTTTGAAGAAAATATATGAAGAATTGAAGATGGGAGAAGATATGAAGGTCCAGGTTGAAGACTCAAAGAGAAAGTAAGATTTGAGAATGAAGATATGAAGATCTAAGGAGCAATGTATGAAGATTTGAAGAAGTTAAAGGTGAGTGGAGAATTTGAGGGTAAGTCAAAGAGTTCTGGAATCGGAAAGTGGAGAAGTGAAAAGGGGTCGGAGTTTTTAAAGAGGAAGAACAATCAATGCGCGGCGTTTCGCATTCGAGCACAGTCAACAAGCGGCTGACACATGTCCGAAGCCAGAACGACGAGACTGATGGGACGTTTCGTTGACCCCTCAACTCGGTCGTAGCGTACAAAGGAACTGGGGATCACTTTTCGCTTCCGTCGCTTCGATAAATCTATCCTCCGGAAAATGAGGGGACTATCTGTGTACGGGTAAAATCGGGGGCAATACCTGCCCCGATTCTCCGGTGAGAGAACGAAGGGAAAGCACGGATCCGCGAGGTTATAATCGAGGCCAGAAACACCAGGCATGGTAAAGCAATGGACGATATATCCGACATTGGGCATTGGTAAAGCAACGTACCCCGAACCGAGTATAACTTCTAGACCTCGAGAGACGCAGTGGACGGTTATGCATGACGGATAAGGGCCATAATACTCGCCCTCTACCGGATATTCCGGCGCGAATCTCGTGCAGTATCGATTATGGATCAATAATTACCGGGAAAAGAAGATTTTTACCTTTTTTAGACTTATACTAGGACTGAAATTCTCCTGTTATATAAAAGGGGAAGTCTTTCTTTAGTCTGACACGTTGTAACACGCAATTCAAAGCAATAAAAGTTTTATTTTGTCTTCCAGCTACTGTTAAAGACATAACTCACTTGTTCTTTTCTCCATTCGTGACCGGGCTTGATCCGAGGGTCCAGTCGAGGGCGAATCCCACTGTTCAATCCAAGATCAGACTTGGTCATCGTATTGCAATTGGTTTGATCATTTATTTTGTCTTTAATCCATCTATCTATTATTTTTAATTATTCGTATAGAATTAAACCACGTATCCTTCAAACCGCGTACAAATTTAATTGTTACTCATTTTTGGGTTAATCAGATATATAAAAACACAAGAAGAAGAAGAAGAAGAAGAAAGTGGATATGATTTGGCGCATGCAACAAATGGCTGACTAAAATGAAGTACAGGAAAATCACGGGAACTCGAGGCTTAAGGAAGACGGAAGACAAAAGATAAAAATTAGCAACACTAATGATTCTTACTTCAGATAAGCCTTCCCATCATAACCACCAACAACATATATAGCACCATGAATATCTGCTGTTGCTGCAGCAAACCGCTGCAAAAGATGCAAACGACCCATGTCAGTTGAACTGAGCAAACTTCAGGATATATCAGACTTGCATCTAGCTTATCTAAGAAAAAAGAAAACCACTCTTCTAGTTAACAGGTCTACATGCTTGGTGATACCAATATAAATCGCTCATGTACAACAGCGCAAACTGTAAATAACTGGATGATACCTTTTCCATCATTGGCCGAGCAGAGATCCAGTTTCCAATGTTGAAATCAAACATTTCCACCTCTGAAAAACATTGAGCACCATTTCCACCACCAATAGCAAAAATTTTATCATTCAAAGAAGCTCCAGCTAAGCTCCCCTTCTTCTCATTCAGGGAAGGTTACTGTATCCATTGATTTTTCAATGGACTGTATGATTCAACTAGAAATGAGCAAATATTGTTAACATATTTCTGTTGTAAACAGACAAAAATAGTGGAAGAAACAATCCTGATTCTTATACCTGTATTGAACCACACATCACCATATACCCCACCAAGTACAAAAATTTCACCATTTAATTTCACTGACGATGCATGCGACCTTGAAAAGGTCATTGGGCTAAGTGTTTCCACACGATCGTGCAAAGGGAAGTAGGAATCCAAGGATTGAAGCCATGAAGAACCATCATATCCTCCTACAATGACCACAGATTCCTCAAAATTCCTTGAGGAATACAATGGCTCAGGTTCCAATGTATTATGTATGTTCATCAACCGTCGAAGCTCCAATTTGGAATGAACCTGATTATGTAACAAGCACATAAATTTGAGGAACTGAAAGCTCATACAATTCAAGGGAAAAGAAGGTCAATTCACTATAGCAGGTTTAGCATTAGCATAGAAATTTCTTATTCTTACGTTCTGTTGGCTACCTCTCTGAACTATGACCAAACCACAAAGATACAAATACAAAATTTTAGGCAAAGTTCACAACTTACGGACATAAGCACCAATTAGGAAGACATTTCTGTAAATAAGCCATAACATAACTAGAGTAAACCATGATATTTGGAAGCCTTCTATAGAAGTATCCGATTATAGTGCATAATTAACATGGTATTGGCTAGCTCAAAAACCCTGAAACGTCTGTGACACCCTATAAATTATTGCAGTTGATTCTCTATACAAATATCCTTGGGGAGACACAACGCCCAAGCTGCCTCAGAATTCAAACTTAATGTCCATGTCTCCTCTTCTCTGCCAAAATAACTTCCATTTCTTAAGGTATGAGAATAAACCATCCTACAAAAAAAGCTCCATGTAAACCACAATACGCTTCATATAAATTATTTTCCCCTATTTTATTACTAAAAACGAAAAGGTAACATGTAGACAATATGTATCCTTTACAAGATACTAAACGACACTCCATGGCCCCTTTTATTACTTTTTGAGAGAAGTACACTCCATGCCATTTTAACCGTCTAATTTGACATACGACTAATTTTTTCCTGAGGGGGACTGTTAAAAGAAGAGTTAAATTGCTTATTATCTTTTGGGGAACATGTCGAGTCATTTGCATGTTTTGAGAATGAAATAGGAAAAGGGTTGCATAAGAAGGGTAAATGATGGCCTTTGGAAACAGTTTCCAGTATACTACAGGAGAACATCTTATACTACATCTCTTAGGCTTAGTACTAAATTATAAATTAGTATCCAAAAGAATTATTCACTTAAGAAAAAGGAGATCCCCAACCAAAAGAGTTCATAGCTGAAACAGAAGGTGCAAAGGAGGATTCTAGAACAAAACATATTTGAGCATAAAATGAACCAGCACAATAAAAAAAATTAGGTCTCAGAGAGGGCATGCACATACCAGCTCTTGCTCCAAAGACATGATTTTCAGGTCTTGTTCCAACTTAGACCTCTTCAATCCCTCCACTTCTCCCATTAACTTCAAAGATAATTTATTATGGTCTATTAGTAGCAGCAAAAGGGAGGAAAGTTCAGGCAAACAAGACTGGTCAAAGGAACAATTTAATTTACCTTATCTACAACGGCTAAAAGTTCAGAAGGGTCCACTTGTTGGGGTATCTCCAGCACTTCGGAATTTCTATCTTCAGAACCAATGTTAACAGCTAAAGATGTCTGAGAAGTATCTCTTTGACCTTCCTCCTTTAAGCCCATCAGACTTTTTGGTCCATCATCCGGCATTTCGACATTATCATTGCCCGTAGAGGATTCTGAATTCTGACTTTCTCCACACGATGACTCCCATTCAATTTTCAGTTCATTCATCTGCTGAAGATTCAACTCAGAAGTAGTGATGATTTCAGAATGCTCACTCTCCTGTTCTGTGTATTGCCTTTCAAATAACTTGCTCTGCTGACTGGGGCAGATTGACTCATTCTGCAGTGAAGAATAGATAAAGCTCGATGTCGATTCAACAGGTTCTTCATGATCCGCTAAGCCCCACGCTTGATACTTATGCCCTTCTTTGTCAACAGAAGTTGCAAGGCATAATTCCCAATCCATTCTATTTTTATCTGGGGGTGGTGAAGTGGGACTTGAAGATGAGTTCAGCATCGGATCTATCTTGTCCATGTCAGAAGTTGCATCTGGCTTATCCATGTCTGAAGCTGAAGATTTAAACAATGAACTCCACAACTTATGTGTATAAGACTTGGGTTCGATTACTGGTGTAGATGCACTAGTGCTTCCTAGCACAGAATTCCCACAATTTAGCTTCCTAGTAGTACCAATGGAAGCATCTGCCCAACCACTGTGATCCAAGTGATCCGGTCTTTCCTCTGAATCCCGGTCTTTCATTTCGCCTACTGGTCTAGTCATTGGTAGACTTTTGAAAAGATTGTTCCACATAGATGACTTTAGCAGGCCAGTAGCTTCATCTAAGGCTGGCAAAGATGAAAACAAGTCAACCAATCTTCTGGTTTGGCTTCGATCCAGCTCAAACCAAAAGAACCCTCGCGCATAATAGTTGTCGCCAATGATTGAGGCAAACTGATCTTCAGTCAAGGGACAATACCTTTGTCGGACTCGGATTCTTACCTTTTCAAAGAAGAGAGCACACTAGGGTTAGTAACTTGGATTTGCTAGTAAATTACAGAAAAACTAGCAAACCAAAAGTAAGTAGGACAAATTATTGTACCTGTGCTGGATATGCTGTACGTTCTGATCCATCAGAAGTCTTAGTCCACCCATATGGATTGATATTCAATTGTCCATGGCTAGCAGCCTCAAAGATGCCATGGAGCTTACGATCACTATAGTTGAATAGGAATAGTGTTAAACCCATGCTGATTTTCTTCACATATGAGAAATGAGGTTCTGGTAAACCTGTTAACAAGGTCAAGTAAAAAATAAAGGTCCACATTATCTAACTGTTGTGCAATCTTCACCTGATAAAATAGTACCGATACAAGAGTCTGATAATAGAAAACTAACCAAACAGCTGTTTGAGCAGGCATTCCTTATGCGTGGCATGCGTGCATCCAAAAATTACTGCTCCAAGCTCGGCCTTTCTCAGATTCCTAGCTGATGCACTAAAGTTAACTGTCGACATGGATTTGGTTTTCTCCTTAAGAGCGAGTGTTGTCGTCTTTCTCCCAGCTCCCATTCTTTTTTAACATAAATGACCTGCCAGTCGAGGAGGAATGATGTTGAAGTCTATGACTTGAAAGAGTTGGTAATCACAATTCTTGTCAAATCTGCACAGCTTGATCTGTACCAGTTAGCACTCAACAACTACCAGAAAAGACTAAAGATCACACACTAAGTAAAGCTCGCTTCTGCCTCTATCATTAACTCTTTATTTTCGAGAATTAAAGTATTGATGAGAACAAAAAAAACACTTCATGCAAGCCAGTGTCAAATCCACATACATCATAAGTATGTTAAAAGGTTTCTATGCAATCATGAAGGACGGAATACTAGGTTCAAGTGCTTTTTATGAGCATTAAGAATGTTAAAAAGCATGCCATGAAAGACGTTTAGGGATGAAATAGCAGATACTTGTTTCTTATGAGCACAAAATGTGGCCTTCCTGTTAAGGGCTTTGGGAATTCGAAATGCACGATGATGCATTAACTTGTGATAGCATTTAGGAAACTTTGTATAAGGCCAACTTCATAAATGTTCTCTGTGCTTTGTAGTAGAAGAGAAAAACAAAGTAACATCACTAGTAGTTAATGTCAGAGGTTCCACAATGTACTCCTATGTGTTTTAATGACCAAAACGAGTAAACAAAGATGTCCAGAATCCAGATTGAGAAAAATTCTCAATCTAGGCATAAGGAGTACATGTACTATCTTGAGATCACAAATCCAATCAGTAGTTAAGTGCATCATATGAACAAACACAGAAAGAAAGAAGTAACCAAGAGAAACATTTTGTCCATAGGAAGAGCTAATAGGGGGGAAATTGGGAGAATATGTAAGTACAATCCCATGGTAATTGTTGTTACCAAGGAAAAGAATGTGGTTGAGACAAAATCTAATAGGAAGATAAGACTCTCTGCTGAAATATTTCAATTGTCGATCAAAAGTTCATTGCTAGAGTTTCTGGAATCTATCGATATAATTTATTTGACCTAGATACCAATGACAAGCCATGGAAGCTTACAAGCAAGCTAAGGAAAAAGCCTCTATAAAATGATGAGTTCAAGAATGATTGATGCGTGAAACATAGGAATCTATCTTAATATTGCAAAACTGGAGTTGACAAACTGTAGCAGTGGGTTTGAAGTATCACGCTACGCATGTAAAGCATGAATCATCGCTTTCATATTTATTCAAAGCTATTTTAGGTACAGTCCTGTTCAAGGCAACCAAAGGCCACCGGGCTGCCCTTTTTAAAGGAAAATGCAAGGATTAACTTAAGTTCAAGATTATGCTGATTGTGCTGCTCTTGAAAGAACTTCCTTGCTGTAAAACAAAGGGAAGTTTGATTATTACTTACACAAACCACAGGAAGTAGACTACTGATCACTGAAGCAAAGGAAAATACAGCAACTAGTGAAAGACCGTGGAGGGTTAAGGCCTCCAAGTACAACCTTTATCTACAAAGAAACTTACAGGTCACAGCATTATAAACAAAAAGCAATGGAGCCAAAAAAAAAAATACACAGTTAATAGAAATTTTGAGCAGGTCTAGAGAAACAGAACAACGGACAATGTGCCAAGGATAATAACGTAACTTGGGAACAAAAAGTAAGAAAGGAAGAGGTAGGCCAAAATCTACATTCTACAACTACAACATAAGTTAACAAGAGTAGTCCACGTAAGCTTATGGAGTCATAATGCTTAGAACTTTTATGGAGTTATATTTTGCAATTATAACAGGTTGTATTAATCTTAACCGCAGTGATGTCATTCTAATAATCAAATAGATAGGTCTTCTTACTCCGTTGTTTGACAAACTCAAAATATTTCACAAGATTTGAGAAAAACACTCTTCTTTTCAAGACTGAAAAATCTAACCTCAAACAACCCATAATGACTTTACAAGATACCTAAGCAAAAAAAGGAAACAAATAGTAGCTAAACTGCAATGCGCAGATTAAAAAATTGTGTCCAGCTCTATACCTTGAGGCAGCAGCACAACATCGCTAGTAATATCTTATACATTAGACAAGTACTGAAACATACGAAAAGCCTCGCGATAAGAGCAAAATTTTTGGAATTAAGTAAATGCGATTTGCTCAAATAAAACAGAAACAACCAAGTCAAAACAAAACGTAACTCAACCACCTGATATTGACTTATTCGATGTAACTTGCATTTACAAATCACACAAATGTATGCTGCAGCAGACGTAGCTCCTACTAGAGCAGAAGCACCTACTACGAAACCCTTAGTTTGCCATTCCAAAGCCAAATTTGAAAGCAAAACCCGAAGTCTTATCAAAATCTGGCGGAAAACAATTCTTTCTGAAGGTTTGGAAAAATTCACCGTGAAAGTGAGATAGTTTCATTACCCGAAAGGAAAATGACTGTTTCAATTTTCTATTAAAGGAAAAACTTCTTTTGTTCTATAAAATGAGCCGATGACAAAATTTAACAGAAATTTAGGAGGAAAAGCTCGTGTTAGTCTAAATAGAGCTTGCACTTCAAACAAAAGATAAAAACAAACAGCAGGAAAAATATTAGCAAAAACTACACCGAGAAAACAGCAGTATAGAGATACTCCAATAGAAAGTTAAAGGAAAACAGTGTTAGAAAGGAAAACTAAACTCTTCGCTTAATCGCTTCTAGTAACAGTGAAAATACATCAGCACTCAAACAATAATGCATCAAACAGAGATTTTCGAAGACGATCACGTATTAAACACCTATATCTCTTCTGCAAATATCTACATAATCGTCCCTTGAAAAACACAAGAAGCTAAGCGATCATTAAGCGTGAAAATGATAATAAAAATTACCTCTTCACGTTTCAAGTGAGAAGAGAAGTATGATAAGAAACCTTCAAAGGACGAGAGTGTGACTATTTAGAGAAAATTGAAGAGTCAGAGCGAAAAAAGTGTTATGAAAGTTTTTAGAATGATATTTAATGCTCTAGAGTTCAGGAAAAGAAAGCCAAGTGGAGAGACACTGAGCACTGAGCACTGAGCAGAGGTGTGACCGGAGGGGTGCCTACTATAACCGTACTTATTTTCTTTTTCTGTTTATTGGAATCAAAAGGAGCTCCGTTTAATTACCTATACTTTAAAAGATTTTTACTTTTCCATTAAATGCTTCTTCTCATCCTTTTTATTTGTCAGTTTAACTTTAAAAAAAGTTTGATCAAACATATTTGGCACTTTAAAAACCTCAGAAATTACTCTTATTTAGCTAGTTTTGGTTCCAACCTTACTACTTTAAATGGCATATATAGTCACAATTATTCATTTAAGTAAAAAAATACGACTAATTTAGTCAATACTCGTAGTATAATTTATGCTATCAAATAATTTCTTACTAGGTGTGTTAAATCTTAAACAACTTATAAGAATAATCACACTAAATAGTACTCCCTCCGGTCCAAAATAAGTGATTTTTTGGCATTTTTCTTGTGGTCCAAAATAAGTAATTTTTTCAGATTTCAAGAATGAATTAATTATTTTTTTCCTACATTGTCCTTGAAGTAAATGGTGTTGGAATATGTGTTAGGAGTGTTTATGTGAGATAGTAAAGGTTAATATGGTCAATTTCATTGCTAATTAATGTTAAAAGGTGGATTTCTTAATTTGTGTGAAAACATCCAAAAATCACCTATTTTGAACCGGAGGGAGTATAATAAATGATTTACTACGTAGTTTGTATTTGCAATAAAATTACTTATAATTGATTTCTCAACTACCTTCATAATGCGGAAACGCTCTGCATTGCGTATCGTTAAAAGCATTCCGAAATACGCATGAGAGCTGCCATGAGCCTATAATAAGTCCATTACTTGCTTGCTCAGAAGTTTACTAAATAAGGTGGTGAGCTTAAATGCAATTGAGCGAATTGACTGCCTTAACCTCGAAACCCTTGTATGCCGCTTCTGTTTCATTTTTTTGTCCTTTCTATAGGCCCTTTAGGATTCAACATTTGGTCATCTTTGCTACTGTTTGCTTTTTATCTGTTCAATTTTTTTTTTAACTGTTTTTGGAATAAGTACAGAGGCATAATGAACAAAACTGCAACGCATTGTGATGGGTTGTGACATGTAAGGTGAACAAATTCAAATTTTATTCTATATAACAAATTGGAAAAAAAATCGTTTGTTCTCCATCTGTCCCAATTTTATTTAATGCTTTTTTTTTTCAAATTTAAACTTTTTAATTTTGGTGATATTTGTACATCATTGCCCCTTTACAATTTATAATTCAAGAAAATAATTTTTTTAGATCTCTTATAAAAGACAGATCTCTTACGTGTAAAAGTAAATCAAATCTCCCGTGTGTAAAAAAAAAAAAAGTAGGGTCATAAAACTAAAAACAAGTTTGTAAAGAGCCCCAAAACCAATTGACCCTTAATTTTGATCGTGTATTTGAACATAAAATATCTAAATTTTTCAAAATAAAATTTTACATTGAAAACTATATAAAAAATAATATTAGTCACATAATTAATAATTTAAAAAATTTAAAAGGTATCTGAAAAAATTACGACCAAAGAACAACTCGTTTGATTCTCAAAATCTGAACACTGTCACATAAATTGGAATGGAGAAATTTTTTATTTCGAGAAATTAGTCCTACTTTCCATTAGAAAAAAGTTAGCACTCTTTAGATGTAGCATTTTGAAATTAATATCCTGCGAAAATGAAAAAGATCTTTTAGAGTCAAACTGGTTTTGAGGTTTCGTTCTAGTTGTGTTGGCCTCTCTGATCAAAGTTTATTTTAATGAATTTCTTCGTTCTTCGCTACTTTTTTTTGAATTTACTACTTTAAGTGCACTTATCAGAAGGCAAAAAAACTTTCAAGGTAAAAATTTTGAGTCAAACTGGAAAGATAGTTTACGAAATTTATGGCTTGAGGTGTTCCATAATTTTATTTTAAAACATGTTTAAGGAGAACGTCCGGCCATTTTATGCATGGAATTACAACCATATGCAGTATAAGAAAATATATCCAAGTTCAATTCAAGAGGGATTATATTTAGAAATAATAAAAGGTATTTAATTCCATCAAAATTTCAGATAAATTAGATTTATCTACTAGCCGCTATATACGTATATATTGGCTTACTAACATTGGAATTTAACTAGCCGCTATAATACTAATCATTTGAATTGTAAGTAAATAAGCAACCGAATAAACTTTCATGCCCTTAACAAATTATTATTGGGAAAAGAATAAGTCCGCCCCTTACTTCCTAAAGAGGTGTAACAGACAAATTGTGGGGGGGAAATGCAAATGTGTGATGTAACAATGTAAGTGATATAACCAGTTCTTTTTATTTTGCTTTTCCCTCTCTATATGTAAGACATGATTTTACCAAAATATTCTAGCCATTTAATAAGACTGAGTTTTGTGAACATTCATATATAGATAATAAACATATTATATATTCTCCGGTTATTCTTAATTTAAGCATTGATGTTGGGCATATTTCTATATGTTTTAA